TTATTCCAATAGGTAAACCAAACTTTTATTTTTAAAATTAATATATTTATTTTTATGATGAGAACAATAACTTAGTATATATGAATGTATTCCATTAAGTAATTACTTATTAAATTTAAGATTTTAATAAAATTTTCTAAGCTACTAATATTCATATAAATCTATTATCCCAATTAAATTTCAAACAATATAATCGGTATAATTTAAGTTTGAGAATTGTAATTTAGAATTTTTAGATTATTCCGAAATCTAATTTATTAATTCAATCAATGTCAAACATTTAACACCAAATTCTGCTATTTAATCATTTTTTAGGACAAATAAACGATGTTTATTTAAATGAAAAATGCCCTATTAATTTAAGTGGGCCATTTCTAGTAAGAGAAGAGGTTATTTAATGCGATCAAAGTGTCTCTAAATATTGTCTTTAAAAATAGACCATTAAAAATTATTCGATCAGTTAATTTCCATGAGTATTTCTTAAAATAACTGAGGATGAGAATTCAACCAATAACACAAAATTGATTATTCTATCTCCTAACTACAAATGGTACTAATTAAGAAATGGAGATCTAATTTAAATTTAGGATTTCCAAAATGGAAAGAGCTAATTAATCGTGAATACCTATGATTTTATCTTCGATCAATTTATTGAGTATAAATCATTTAATTATTCCAACGTTTTTATGATTTAAATACTAAAAATCGGTGATATTATTTTTTATTAAACAAACACTTAATTTGTATTGCTATATGTGAATAGAGACTTTATCAAGATAATTTATGAGAATCAATATCATTTTGATATGGTCTATATAGAGAATTCTAACGAAGAATATATAATATTAAATTCTAGAGGTTAGATTACTCATTATAATTTTTCTTAAGGTAATGTAATTCAAATACATGCCTACACTGTAGAAAAAAAGAAACTGTTACTATTGTGTATGGATGGTAATGACTACCCCTTCTAAAAAATGATGGATTCAATTGTAGTAAATCTTGTTGATGCTATAAAATAAGAATTCGAAATTCGATTAAATATCCTATTAAATTATGAATATTATAAATTTTATTTAACTATTACTATTAATACATTGAATTCAACTATTGAAGCCAAGTTCATAAGAACTTTTAGAAATTAACTTTTTTTAGATAAGATAATATTTATCGATGAAAAATTCGCCATATTCAGAGGCATAAATCTATATCAAATTTTTATTTATGATTTAAGATAATAATAAGCATTTTACGATCCAATATCTGAATTAAAAATGCTTTATGATATGACTATATAAAGTTATAATAGTACACATTATTTGGTCTTTCATTTTTCATAAAATGAAGCATTTTTAATAGAGATTGGATATGAGATTAGTGTTATCGAGAAAGAGAAGTCCAATAATTGTAATTTAATTGCTGAAAATGGGGTATCCAAGGCTGAAGTTTAGGTAATAATTTAATAAGAAGAAATTAATAACAACATTAACTATAAAAGTATTATACTATCAATTATTGTATGCATAGCGATTGTTTTACTAATTTTTATATTAAGAAGATAAAAATTAAAGAATAATAATTAAAATTATTCAAGCCAATATCGTTAGATTAATCAAAACTATGATGATTTTATAATAAAAAATTATATAAATTTATTAGATTACAATCTACTTTTTGATTAACTCTAGATTTTTCATGATATGATTTTTATAATTTCTTTATTGCATGAACAATTTTATTAAAATATGATAATTATTTAACTTTTATTATAAAAAATTAATCTTGCCTAGAATAGTTTTAAAGTATTATTCTTTAATTTTATCTTCTTAATATAAAAATCAGCAAAACATTCGCTATGCATACAATAATTGATAGTATTATAAATTACACTGAAATTATATTGAAATTAATAGTTATTCTTTGTAATTTTGCTCTGAATTTTTGGATATGTATGTTACTAATCTTAATCGGTATTTATTTTATTATAATATCCATTCTAAAGTTATAAATTTATTCTTTGATATCAACCTGTATTAAATTACTATTGATCTTAAGTATAATTGATCCGCTCTCTAAAACAGGAATATCAAAATAATCAATTGCATTTTATTCTAAAGCTGGTAAAAAATATTATAATTTGAAAAGAAAATTTAGTAGTATTAAAATTATGAAAAAATTTTCAAGAAAAAATAAAAGTAGACTAACTATTCTGAATTATAATGATATCCTACCATATTATTAACCTTTTAGATCTGAATAAAATATTGGAGAATTCATAATTTAAAAGCTTTTATTAGGTTTTTTAAAATTTTATGATAGGCTAAGCAAATTTCTTCATCTCTATAAAAGAATTGAGCATGATGAATATTTAATATGCTATTTTAATTACTTAAAGAGAAGTAATTATGCTTGTTTTGGGTATGATTTTTTGAAATTAAATGCTTTAATTAAATGTTTCAATCCAACTTATATCAATTTAATAGCTGATAAATTTAATTAAAAATCATAAGATATTTGCTAATGTTCTTATGTAACTTAAGTCAGTTAGTATAATCTTTATCAAATGTCAATTGTATACTTTAGAGGTTACAAATTTTGTATCCAAACAGTGAGTGAATATTCAAAAAAAGTAAATTAATTACATTGATTTTTAGTTTAAATACAAAATTATAATTCTATTTTAATATATTTACATGCTGACAGCCCCAAACTATATATTTTTAAGATAAATTTCATATTAATTATTATTAGATTTAACAACAAAAGGATTATAAAGTATAGATATTTACATTGGAATAGGAAGAGGATAGTAGGTTTAATTCTTTTGAAAAATAAGAATTTTGTTAAATTCAATAGTCAGTTGGATGTATAAGATTAATTTTAGATATCTAATAGATGATCTCAAGTTATTGCATATGCTAGTTTATTACTACAATATCATTTCTGAAGTAAAGTAGGCTTAATTGGAAATTATCTTATAAACTGATTTATTCCTCAGATTTACTGAAAAACTCGCTACTTTTATTCATAAATAATATAAGTCTAATGTTTTGTTTTTGTGATAAAAATTTGTACATTACCTTAAAAATAATAAATTTTTGTTATACAGAAATAAAAATCTCATACTCTATGGCAAGTAAATGAGTTTTTTATTGGAATAATGATTGGGGTTCCGTTACAATTATAATTCAAAATAATTAGTAAGCCAAGAGTCATTAAAGAAATATCAATTGATATAATTTAACAAAAATATTAGAGTGAAGGATTATTAGGATAAAGAATTATACTCAGTGTTCCAAATATGGTTCAAGGTCGACTAAACTTCATTTTATTTCACATATACTAATATTAATTTATTTCCGAAAATTTGAGATTGCTTTATTTATTTTAATCATAAACAGAACAATTAATAATCTATTAAACAATATAATGACATTATTTAAGTTAAGTATTTTTTAAATAGATATTATTAAATTCTTATTCTTATAAAACCTCCAAATTCATCATCAACTATTTTGTCTCCTCCATTTAGATTTAGTTGTTCTTTTATAAATGAGTATGAAAATAAAGCAAAAATTTAAATTACTAAAACATTATTTGTAAGCTCCAGCTTGTTTTAACCATTTGTATAAGTGATTATTTGAATTAATCTCTCTAAAGAAAATGAAGTGAGTATAAAAATGAAAGTATGCTTTTATGTAGTGTGATAAAATTATTGTGTTGAAGTAAAAACTAGACCATATATATTTAGTCATTTATTTATATTGAAAATATCAATTTATGAAAATAATCATAGAATATTCTATTGTCTTCCAAAATTAATCTTCCTCAACAAACACTATAAATTTTTTGTTTAAAAATTATATTCTCTAATACACACTGTTGAGGTTTATCAATAAAAATTTAAATAGCTTATTTAATTTAAAAAGATCCCTTCAAAATAATGCTTGAATTGTTTAAAACTGTCAAATTACTAATTGGACCATAAAACATTTCAGAAACATTTTATTTTTCTTTTTTATTTTTTTCGATGTAAATTATAATTGATTTCATGAGAGAATGTAACTTAAAGCGTTGATTTTGGATTTAAATCTTTATTTCAACTTCACCATTCACCTTATTGTTTATTGAAAAGTTTGATGACAAGCCACCTTGATGAAACTTTTCTATATCTAATTCAACAAGAAATTGTTAAAAGAATGAATATCTCCATACTTTGTTCTAAGAAAACAATAAATTTTATTCGTCCAATTAAAAAAGGAAATTATTAGGTTTCGATAATTTCTACTAATATTAACATGGATATTCATATTAAAACAATGGCTATATAAAGAAAAATATTTTATTCAATTAAAATAGCTAATTTATCTTTGTTTTTTTCGTACTTAAAAGGATAATAAAATGAATAATCCTAAAGATTATAATTTTAAATTTAATGTAAAGGTCATTACAGATACTAATCTCTAATTCTAAATCATTAAAATAATTTATAATTAAAGATCTAGTTGAATTTTGTAAGGCAACTATAATGTAATATTCATGTATAGGTTAAGGTTAAACATAAATAATTATTAATTCTTAAGTTGAAAGTATATTAAGTTTTCTTTATTTTAAATAGCTAAAGTCTTTACATATTGAATAATTTTTAGTTAGCAACTGAAAATAAATAGAATAGGAGTTAATACAGATTTTTATAGATAATTGAATTCATTAATATATTAAGAAGCAAATTAGAACTGTATGTGCAAAGAATTATACATTAATCAATTTGTTTAATACGGTACAGCTTAGTATGATTTTCGAAAGTTCATCCCCTTTAGAGTTTTGACTAGACTATGCTTATCATATGTGCTGCTAATATTAGATGTATGAACATGGCAAGATGAAAACAAAAGAAAACTACTATCATTTAATGGCAGATAATTAAAGGAATTTCTTTAGAAGAATGTTGGGACTCAAGAAGAGCTTCTCCAAAATTTAATAGGCTGTAGTTTGATGTAGGGAAAAAAGTATATCAGAAGACGTTCTTATTCATGAAACATTCAAATGGGTTCGATTCAGAGGGCCTTACATGTTTACGAAACAAGTAACCTTTAAAATAAAACCTCTGGAAAAACCAGTAGATCAATGATATATAACTTCTTAGACGATTAATTGAACTTATCCATGAGACCTCTCTGCCTTATAAGGAGACTTAAAAGCCGGGAAGAGGTCTTAAGTAAGATGGAAAAAATATTAGTGATAAACTCAAGGAAACATTCCGATAGACGAATCTGACCATAGATCAACCGGAGAATTCCAGGACACGAATTCTTCAAGCCTTTTCAAAATGGTTGGAGGAAATGCTAGACTCATGGTAAGAACATGAAGCTTAACCATCTGATGGATCGCCTATTTGGAGAAAAGAGCAACCGGCTGGAAAAGATGGAAGAAATTTTAGACTATAATTACATCTTAGAAGCAAAGTATTTCTGCTCGGTGCAGAATCTATTAGGGAATTATGCAGATGATCGTGGCCGGAATTAGGAAATTAGTTATTCTAAATGTAACTCATATCAAAAAAAAGGTTCAAAAAGAAAAACCTAATGAACATCAATCATCATTATTATTATTATTATCCACAAAGGGAGTCTTGGAAATCAATCTTAAGGTTCAAAATGATGAAGAAGTCAAAAAATTGGTTTCTTTTAAATATTTCAATCCCATCAAAACCTCATGACTCTAAAGAAATGTTTATGAATCTAAACTGGATCATCTGAATTAAAAGGATATCGATATCCCTACCATTTTGAATCTTCTCTTTAATATTGATATTATCTGCCAATGGTATTGAGTAACTAAAAAGGGTCTTTAAAGTTCATCAACCAATAGCATGTCCAAAAATACTTGAAGCCTTCAAAATAATGATTTAATGCCTCCCAACATCAAACGAGAATATCTGGTCTATCCCCTGCTCTTACAAACATTGGCAGAGAGCCCCCACTCTGGATAAACAAATTGTATCTCTGCCATGAATTTTCCTCAGCCAAATTAGCTCCTATTAAGTAGGAAATTATGCCTCAAGCAAACTTGGCTTGTAATCATTCTATTGTATGGGATTACTACAAAACTCATTCAAAAAATATCTATCAAGGCTAATATCACTTTGCCTTAAACCTATAACCTCTCTATTCATTTCTTTGCCACTTTCTAGATCTCTGGGCAACTTATTTTCTTTTGTTGCACTTAACACATCTTTTTATTAATATGCTTTCAATAAATAGATTAGATCAAACAGAAAGTATCAAAACTTTAGCTGTCAAATTCGTTTTTTTAACACTCTGTTTTTGATTTATTTGTAAACAAACTTTGAATTATTTCTTACTTAGATTTGGCAATTAGTAGAAAACATATTATTTTATTTAGGAATCTTCAATCTTTTCTGAGTTTAATTTTAGATTAATTAAACTTTTATTTTTATCTATATATAAAGTAAATATCTATTATTTATAAAGAGCAAATGATGTGATAAAAGGAGGAAAAAATATTAAAGAGTTGTATTTGGATAATCAAAATTTCAATGAAAGTATTGTATTTTTCTAAATTTTTCTAAATTTTTCTCTTCGAAAATTAACAAGCAGCATACAATCTCTTTGGCTAATTAGTACCTTAATCTAAACCAGTTTTGAAATTAATTTTGGGTGAAATCGCTATTATCTCATTATGGATAAGTATTTATTGATAATTAGTTAAATCAATTATATAGCCAAATTTCAATATTAAAAGAAAAATAACATTTGGAGCTTTTTTTTTGAAGATAAAGCCGAATTTATAAGGAAGGTCTTCTCAGAATTTAGTTACCACTCCAATTAATAGCAAAGACTCCTACTCTTACAGAAATTATCAATTATCATAGCTAAAATTTATTCTATAATTTAATAATAGTTTTAAGAACCACTGGAATTATATTTATGGATTCTTTTCTAAAATTGTTTCATCAAATATGTAAATAAAAAAATTATGATTTAATAGTATCCTATTTTAATTGTAGGATCCTCTTTCAAATTTTAGTCAATTTGTTTAGTTTTATTTTACTGATGAATTAGCTTAAGTTTGTAGTTTAATTATCAGTCTATTTAAAATAAACTTTGTTGGTTCTAATCGGCCGCTATATGCAAAAAGCGATTCAATATATATATCATTTATTTTCACCTTTTTAGTTAGTATTTTTTATGTTCTTTATCATACATTTTTCTACCAAACTAGCTGGATAAATATAACGATCGATCTAAATTTATTAGAGCGTGAGAACATGGCCTTAACCTTTTCCATATCCTTGAATCATATCTCCTTTACACTAAAAATGGCTGATTAAATAAATCTCAAAAATGTCACTTTTGTTAAAAATATTCATAACAAAGAAACCTTTCCGATTATGTTTAGTTATTTCGAAACTTCCTTGATCTCGTTTTTGTAGTATAATTTGCTACTCAACCCTAATAAGTTCACATTCCTTATAATTTATGTTTTTACTATTCAGGTAAAATCTCACATGTAATTCAACATATTTTAGAATAAGTCTTAACCAATCATTAATCTTTAGAGTTAGAAGAACTCTACTAAAGATTATATTACAACTTAAAGAGTTTTTAGTGAAATTTTAATCAAAAGACCCTAAACCTTATAGATATCAATCATATAAGCACAATTCTTAAGATCTAGATTATTACTTTTATGCCAATCTTTGAGAGATGGGCATCATCTCATTAATGTTTTTATGTCGTGGGTTATGAAGTTTATGAATTAATAAAATTCTAATACATTTAGGTGTATATTTTTTTGAATATCCGTGCATGCTTGTAATTAAAATATGCAAAAAAATTTCAAGAATACGCTTTATATTTTAATAATTCTACTAATAATTAAAGCTTTTAGCATTTTCAGATAATATAGATATTGCCTTATCATATTAGTTTGATAATGAATTATCCAATAAGAATTCATGCAGTTGAAGGGACAGTGTTAGGATCTTAGACTTATTCTTTATGCTTTATCTAATGGCACTTATGATTTTATCTGAAATTTATTATTGATTGAATGATTTTTGATAATCGCTAAGCAAAATAATTTTTATTCTGAATAATACATATCCACAATTTTTCAAGCATCTGTTTGGTCGAGACCAGTTTGAATTATTTAAATCATTCTGTCCTATATTGATCCGAAATTAGACTGTACTAAATACACTTAATTCATTATCATCCTCCGAGCAGCTTTACTCAGCAGGGAAATCGGCCCCATTTTTAAACCTAACTTACTTCCCCCTTTGCAGTTCCTGATCTCTCAAGATGTTAATACATCCCATCCACTCATCAAACTTTTCTTCTAATTGGATTTGGTTGGGAAGGGGTTTTACCTCCGGATGTTCAATTATGACATCATTAGAGAATTCTTTATTTCAATTTTGTACTAAAGTATTACTAAAGTTTTCAGGTATTATTCGCGGAGGACTTTAAAATTTTGATTCAATTTAATGATGACTTATTAAAGTCAATACATAAGCTTCTTTTTGGCAAATTAAACAAAGTGATGCAAACATATGCAAAAAGAGAAATAAAAGGTATTAATTGGAAATATTTCTGTAGAATGACAGATTTGCAAGTAATTAATCCTAGGTATTCTTAAACTCAAATACAAAAGTTTATTGACCTATTCTTATTGTTTAAAAAGAGCAGACTATTTCTATTTGAATGAAAGAGGGAACTGAATTAGATCTAACTTATTTAAAGGAGAAATGGAGTTTTCGAATTTTTTACCATTTGAATTTATCAGTTTAACTTTAAAAACTGCTCTGATCCCATTTGCAGCGTGTGTATTTATAAGATTGACTAAGAAGTAACTTTTTTTAAGGACAATACAATTTTAACAAAAAGTAAGGAGATTTTAGAAAAGCCATCTCTATAATACTTAGCCTAATTAATTGAATATATAGAAATGTCAAAACCAATAGAAAAAAATAGAATTTTGAAACCTTATAAAACCAATATTAAGGCCATTATATCTAACTCAATAAAATGCTTCTTTATAAAAGTAATATTTTCAAAACATTCTCATTTAGGGAGGCGTTGGATGCATTTATGATTAATGAAAACAATAGAAATATATGATAGAAATATTATTGTTCTTAAAAACAATATAACTCATTTTAATTTCTGAATGAGATAAATTAAAATAAATTAAATATATAAATATAATTAATTAGAATTTATAATAATAGAATTCCGATTATTGAAATACGTGTGTGTGAATAAATATAAATTTGATATTAAATATTAAAAAATGATGTAATAAGCTAATTTAAAGTTAAAATGTTAAGAAGATGATCATAAAGATGAGATTGATTTTATTTGTTATAATGAGTTTTGTCCAGGATTTCGATTAAATTGTTTTGATTGTTTTAAAAAGGGAACCCATCATAACCATTTTGATGATGTTAAAAAAATGAATACTTTAATTCCATTTCTAGAAGGTAATAATAAAGAGTGCGATAATTTGATTGATGATCTTAACAAATATATACAAAGTGTGAATCAATCATTCTCTTAATTAATAAGAGGAATCAGAAATAAATATTCATTATTAAAAGAAAGAATAGTGAATTTGAATTCTTATTAAATAAATGATTATTTGAATTCAACTGTCAAGTTAACTGAATATAAATAATCAATTTCAAAAATCATTGAAGAATAGGTTAAAAAATTAACTCATTCATTTAATAATTTATATGAATAATTATAGTTAACTTCATTTAATTATTATTAAATTGATGAGAATGACATTAAATTATCTGAAGATCTTTACAATTAAGGTAATCTTAATATTAATTTTAGGATACAAATTATATTTGGATGATAAATATAAAGAGGCATTAGAATTATTGGACAAATCAATTTTAATAAATGGTAATAATTAGAAATCATTATTCTACAAAGGTGAAAATACTATATTATTAATAGGTGCATGTTTAAAATTTTTGAATAAATATGAGGATGCAATTACTTGGTTAGACAAAGCATTAGCTATTGATCCCAAACATGTTGATTCCTTAAGTGATAAAGGTAGATTTCATCATTTTTATATTAATAGGTGCATGTTTAAAAATGTTGAATAAATATGAGGATGCAATTACTTGGTTGGACAAAGCATTAGCTATTGATCCCAAACATGTTTTTTCCTTAAGTGAAAAAGGTAGATTTCATCATTTTTATATTAATAGGCTAATGTTTAAAAATGTTGGATAAATATGAGGATGCAATTACTTGGTTAGACAAAGCATTAGCTATTGATCCCAAACATGTTTTTTCCTTAAGTGATAAAGGTAGATTTCATCATTTTTATATTAATAGGTGCATGTTTAAAAATGTTGGATAAATATGAGGATGCAATTACTTGGTTGGACAAAGCATTAGCTATTGATCCCAAACATGTTTTTTCCTTAAGTGATAAAGGTAGATTTCATCATTTTTATATTAATAGGTGCATGTTTAAAAATGTTGGATAAATATGAGGATGCAATTACTTGGTTGGACAAAGCATTAGCTATTGATCCCAAACATGTTTTTTCCTTAAGTGATAAAGGTAGATTTCATCATTTTTATATTAATAGGTGCATGTTTAAAAATGTTGGATAAATATGAGGATGCAATTACTTGGTTGGACAAAGCATTAGCTATTGATCCCAAACATGTTTTTTCCTTAAGTGATAAAGGTAGATTTCATCATTTTTATATTAATAGGTGCATGTTTAAAAATGTTGGATAAATATGAGGATGCAATTACTTGGTTGGACAAAGCATTAGCTATTGATCCCAAACATGTTTTTTCCTTAAGTGATAAAGGTAGATTTCATCATTTTTATATTAATAGGTGCATGTTTAAAAATGTTGGATAAATATGAGGATGCAATTACTTGGTTGGACAAAGCATTAGCTATTGATCCCAAACATGTTTTTTCCTTAAGTGATAAAGGTAGATTTCATCATTTTTATATTAATAGGTGCATGTTTAAAAATGTTGGATAAATATGAGGATGCAATTACTTGGTTGGACAAAGCATTAGCTATTGATCCCAAACATGTTTTTTCCTTAAGTGATAAAGGTAGATTTCATCATTTTTATATTAATAGGTGCATGTTTAAAAATGTTGGATAAATATGAGGATGCAATTACTTGGTTGGACAAAGCATTAGCTATTGATCCCAAACATGTTTTTTCCTTAAGTGATAAAGGTAGATTTCATCATTTTTATATTAATAGGAGAATGTTTAAGATAAATGAAGTAATATGATAAGTCTGAAAAAGTTCTACAATTTGCACTTTCTATTAATCCCAACCACACATTTAGTCTTGATAACCTTGGTATTTGTTAATTCCTATCAAGGAAACTGTTTACAAGATTAAGAAAAATATTAAGAAGCTCTGATATATTATGAAAGAAAATTAAAATTTAACCCAAATGATTAATGGACTAAAAATTAAAAGGGTATTCTAATTTGTTAATCTAGAATTTTGTCAACAGAAATTGAAATAATGAATAAACAAATAATATCATAATAAGAAAATAAAATTATTATAATTATCAAAGGATTTTCAATCAAGATATTTTTCTATAAATTATGATATTTATAGTAATTTCATTTCGCAAACCTTATCGCACCTTTACTCCTTGTTATGTTTTGTCTAAATCTAAATTATTTAAAAAATATACTTGTATTTATGTTAATTCTTTTATTACTATCTGCATTTAATATTACCCTATTTATCATATATTACATTCATTTATAAAAAAAAGAATGGTCTTTAATTTTATAAATAATTTTGAAATAAAATTGGCTTCATTTATTAGATATCTTAGAAATTCAATAAAAAATGTTCTTCAATTTAATAACTTTCCTTTGATATAAAAATTAGATCATTTTTATTTAGGAAGTTTTAGGCATAAAATTTATTCAGGATAATTAATTATTTAAAAATCCTTTTTTTATCTATTATCAAACAAAAACAACCAAAATTTTTGTAAAATAAAATAGATGATTTTATTGCAGTATTATAAAACTCTGTAAATAACCTATTATTTTCAGCTTTTTGTTTCAAATATTTGCACTTTTTAACATTTTCCTAAATGAGTTGCAAATGCAATGTTAGTAAAACTTCTGAAACATCAATTAAAGAATTTTATTTGTTCATCATTCTGATTTTACACTTGATAACCTTTCTAGCTCTTCCTCTATATTATTGTAGAAATAAAAGTCATTCATAACTTTAAATTTTCCTTTGTAACATTCTAATTCAAATATTAACAATCACACGTTATTGTCTGTATCTTAATTTTTATTCAATCTTTCTTACTCATAAATAACTTTCATGTTCTCTTAAGTGTTGAGGGTTTCATCACAACTCATTCCTAAATTCCTAGCATATCTGCAATGATCTAAACAAATAGCCCCTATTTTCCCCTACCTACTAGATCTTAAAATCCTATTCCTATTTGAATCTATTTATCTAAATATTTTTTCAACCTTTTCGCTAAAACAATCTCAGCGCTCATTTATTTTCTGTTCACCTTACTTATAATTATAATTTCTCCTTATTTTTGTATTTTAGGTTCAGAATCTATTCAGTATTAAGTAAATTTCATGGCCTAAAGTAGACCAAACAATCAGAGCATAATTATTAATTATTAAAAAACGATGCTAACTTTAACTCTACTTTAATTTCCGCCTGAGCATTCAAGATGAATTAACAATAACTCTAGCACTTTTGAGATGAAAAAATGCTTATGATTGGACAAGTCAACAACAAGGAATAAGAGACATTTTTCATCAGGTCTGATAGTTCTATATCAATACAAGTACATAATAAAATCATTTGAATTCTAATTAATCAGAAATATTTTGCACTTTAGATAAAATAAACAGATAGTATTAATCAGAAGGATCCTTATTTGAAAAAGTGATTAGAGAATAGAGGCTGATCCAAGTATAGAGAAAGAGGAAAACAATCATCCTAATAGAAAAAAGTTTAATTTGTTTAGAATTAGCAAATTACTAATAGAGCTAATCAATTTTAAGGTGTATAAGCTAACATCCAACTCAATATAATGTTAATATGAATGAACACTTTAAAAGACTAAGCATAAATTCAGCACCATTTGTCAATAAACTTAAATCGAAAAATTAAAATACTATTTTGGATGCCAATAACTTATAATTTAGAATTAATATCATAAAATCATAAGAGAATACAACTTTGAGATATTAATTGTAGTACTCTGAGATTAAAATTATGATTTAATCAAGTAGCAAGAAAAATATAGCCAACTAATAAAATCAATTGAATAGAAGTTATAAACATTAAAAATAATCTAAATTATAGAGGGTGTTCATATATAGAAAATTTCCCTTTTCTGAAGTTTTATCAAAATATTATATAAGAATTATTAAACCACCTTAAATAAATTAAAGATTCGAATATTAAAGTAACTTCACTTTATAAAACTGATATCACATATAATTCATCATTTTTGTTGTTTCAAATAGTAAACTACATTAAATTCATATTAATTAGAGGTTGAAAAATTAAGAAATTTTAGAAATGATGCTGTAGTTTGAGTTTTACATAAGATTTAGAAAGATTTTAGAAAGATATGGCAAGAAAATATGTTAAGTTACTTTGAGAAAATCGTTTTTGATATCCTCAGCGTAAAAGAGAAGAAGAATATATAAATTATGCACACATCGGATTGCATAATGCGCTGCTCTGCAATTGAGCAAATTGAGAACCCTTTTAGTGGTATTATATCAAGGTGTTAGTGCTAGCAATCATGGATGATAACAGTGAAAAAATTAATCCACCATATATCGAATAATCATATGACCGTAAGCTTAGAGCTATAGCTAGATTGAGAGAAACTTCAAAGACTTGCTACACTATTGAGATATGTTATTTTCTAACTAATACTTGATTTAAGGTTTTGATCTGCCTTATGATTTTTTTAATGATATCAATTATGTAGGTGCTTATCTAGGGTATTTTGTATGCGAATAAAGTATAAGAATTCTTTTTTTAGTCGTGTTTAAAATTTAGTTTCGAAACAAACGTGCTAAACGCCAATAATGAAGCAATGATATGGTATATCAAACAAACCGAGTAGTGAAAGGAGTCTAACTTTTGAATAATATGAAAGCATTTTATTCTTACAAAATAAACATTGGTCATTCTGATTTTATTAATATCTAATTGAGTTTCATACTTAAAAGCTTCAAAATTCAATAATTTATTTGATGCAGTTGAAATTTAAAAGCTTTTCTTGACCATTGTTTAGTTTTTTTTTTTTTGTGTTAAAATTAATTTTATTCATAATTTACATTGGTTAATTTAAATCTTCTGTTGATTAATCTTATAGAAATAGCCGGTATATAAAATGGAGGATTTCTAGCTAAATTTTTAAATCGAATTTCATATAAGATTGTTAATATCTGTTTTTCTGTGTACTCAGTCCAGTTATATATTTGATGATTATTTGAGCATATCAAAAGTTTTCTTCCTTTCATTAACATTTTATTTCATTAGTGAAATGATTAATAAGTAACTGAAATTAAGGAGAATCTTGAAAATGATCTTAATCACCTTAACATTATTTTTTTTTATTGTTAAGGGTGAATTTTTTTATAACGATTAGCTCCGCTAGTAATTAATGAGCAAATACTCAACAATGAGAACATAGAGATTAGTTAAATAAACGTAGAATAAAAATAGAGGATAAATTGAAACTGTAAAAAGACTTATTCTTGAATATGAGAGCGGAGTTTTTCAAGCTAATTTTACTCCTTATATACCCCATTTTTCACCCTCAAATAAGAGATATATGAACCTCCTGTGATGGTATAGCAAGACATTTTAGTAAACTTATAGAGAAAAAAGAGACATGAGATGGGCATGGATAACTTGTTTTCTATAAGTCAATTGGAGTGTAAATTTCTGAAGGAATGTGTGATAAATAAGAAATTTTCTACAATCAAACAGCAATCATTGAATGATCTCATTTTGGGGGACCTTATATCTTTTTGAGTTAAAAAAATTATAAGGTCGAGATGAAGAAAGTAGCTAATTTCATTAATCAACTATAGATTAGGAAACTTTGAATAGGATTAACCTTTTGAAAGTAGTTAAGTGTTTTCAAATATCCTGGATTACATAAAATAAGTATATACAGGTATAAACTATGTTTGCCCTATTCAACGACGTTGCAGCCTAGGTTTTTGCCTACTAATAGAATTGTAAAATCAATTTAAATATCTTAAGTGGGTATTTG